TTGCGGTTTTTAACAAGAAGTTGAAAATATCACTTTTTACCAAAAATGACAAAAATATTCACCAAAATTAGAGAATTGAAGACATCATCACAAAATGAACAAATCTGAGAGAGGTCCACATGTAGTACCTATATATGTAATATCAAAGCAATCGGACTTGCGGTTTTCAACAAGAAGTCGAAAATATCACTTTTTACCAAAAATTACAAAAATATTCACCAAAATTAGAGAATTGAAGATATCATCACGAAATGAACAAATCTGAGAGAGGTCCACATGTAGTACCTATATATGTAGTATCAAAGCAATTGGACTTGCGGTTTTTAACAAGAAGTCAAAAATATCACTTTTTACCAAAAATGACAAAAATATTCACCAAAATTAGAGAATTAAAGATATCATTACAAAATGAACAAATCTGAGAGAGGTCCACATGTAGTACCTATATATGTAATATCAAAGCAATTGCACTTGCGGTTTTTAACAAGAAGTCGAAAATATCAGTTTTTACCAAAAATGACAAAAATATTCACCAAAATTAGAGAATTGAAGATATCAACATGAAATGAACAAACCTAAGAGAGGTCTACCCAAGGTACATATACACCAAGTATCAAAGCATTCAGGCTTGTAGTTTTCAAGAAGAAGTCGAAAAAGTAAAACATTGACACGAACGACGAAGACGGACGACGACGGACAATCACTCATATGATAAGCTCCGCTCGACAAAGTCGACAGCGGAGCTAAAAAAGTCAAAAATTGTTTTTTTTTAATTTCCCTATTCTTGTATGACAAAAATATGTTAATTTATGCAAATTATATGCTAATTATTATGCAAATTAATCGTGACTCTATGGACAATTTCTGGGAAGAACACTGCTCATCATCAAAACAATAATGGTGAAATTGTGTTATACCAAGATTTGCATTTTTGCACTTTTTTCTATGGTGAAATTATGTTCAGTGATAAAGGATGAAAAAGCTGTACACTATAAAAAACTAGCTGGAATTTATTTCAAAATACATTTTGACTACCTTATTTTCACTGATTTTTGATGAGTTGAAAGTAAAAATAATATTTTCAACCCATAAGTGAAAACAGAAAATACAATAATAATAATAATAAAATAAAGTAAAAATAAAGTACTTAATGGAAAATTATAATGGATAAAAATCCTAATATTGTTAAAACATTTCAAAAAGTTTACATTTAATTTAATGAGTGTCCAGTGTGATAACAGTTTTCCATAGTATACAATATTAAGTTCTATCCCATAATGCATTGCATGTATGTGCAGTAACAAGCTCTGCAGGGCAAGATTTGGAATCCACCCAAACTACTTAAGATAGAAGCCTAGTCATAATTTTTAACAAAATTGGTCATAAATCACATGACAATGTTCATTAGTTTATTATGTACAATGGCACAATAAAATAGCATTATTTTGTGTGTTATGTAAAACTTTTTGAGAAAAATTTCTTGATATTTCTTGAAAATGTTAAATGTTGCATTTTTTGACACTTTTTAAAACCCAGATTTTTTTAATAATTCAGAACAACAAAAAGTACTCCATCATTAACAATATATGATTTTTTCAGCCTATGTCACCAGGCTAAATTTTGAGATATTCCTTAATATTTTTACCATAGGAACCTGTGGTATAACAGGTTATAATTGTGTCAAAATGGCGACTTTCCACTAAAATACAACCATCAATTTCTCAAAATAAAGGCTAGTGATCCCCAATTTTTTTTTTCGTCAAAATCTTTATATTGCCTTGGAGTGAAGTTTATTGCAAAATGAATAAATTCTGGGTATTTTAATTTATGAGTAAGACAGTTATTTTATACTCAAGTTTCTGTCTTCATTAACCATATATTCTAACTGGGTTTGATATGTTAAATGTATACTACAATTGGCCAGTATATGCTGCTATGAATAATAAAAATTAATATCTACATACCGGTTTTTCAACGCCATCAAGAATCTCATCTTTTGTAAATAATTTGAAACAATCCTTTAATGAGATTTCATCATCATAAGAAGAGGAGTAACTATAATTGTAGGTTGAATTCTTTGATGCCTAAACAAAGAAAAAAAAAATATCACTTACGCAAACTATGGCAGATGAAAGAAACATTTCAATAGCCCTCAAGCGGCAAAATGTAACGATTTTTTTGTTTGTATATTACCACCACCACAGAGTGATAAAATGTATCTACAATCACATTTATGTTAATTTAAATCGGGAGGGTCGTCACCTTCGCACACAGGGGGAATTGAGTCCCAACCGACGATAACACGCGCTAAAACTGAAAGGCTCATGGGTAGATGCTTGTTTGTAAACAATGACACGCTATGGCTATCTGACGCATGCGCAGGTGACAACTCCTCCACTTTAACTGATGTGATTGCAGATGTGAAGTAAAACCCATTGCAAGAGTGCTCAGGATATTTTGTAGAACCATTAGATATTGAAATATTTTCAATTTCACAACTAGCAAAAACCAAATAACCAAATTAAAAACATGGTTGGGTTCTCATTCATTTCCTTCGTTGAGCTGTACAAGCATGATAAGCATATTAAAGCTGGAATTCATTTTTCAGATGTCTCATTCTTAGTTTTGATTGTGATTAGTCTGACATTAAACTGCACAATGTTATACTATCTGTAAAATCTGAGTCAATGCAAAGCTACAAGATTGTACCTGATTGGCTACCCAGCGCTAATACCTAACAGTTAAACCAATCAGATTGCAGCTTATTTGTCAACAGGTATTTTCAACTTGTATTCTGCTTTGTATAGATACTTTGACTGCATTTCCTGTCACATCACAAAATAAAACACTTGTGATTCTACAATCATATCCAAATTACAAAATGCGATTAATTTACCTTAGGGATTGGAAGCGACAAATCCCAGAATGGGTCAAAGGTCACTGAACAGTGCCTACAAACTGTACATTGCAAGGTACTTTTCAGTTGTCCTACAAATATATCAACAATTCGACTGTTCTCTCGTGATGTGTAACGATTCCATGCTTCTCTTGCTTTCTCCATATCACTGAAAAAAAACACAATTACTATTAGACAACAACTTAATTAATGTTCATTTTATTGACTAAATTATGGTAAAAAGATTTGCAAAATAAATTAAGTTAGATTTGTAAACAATAGATACATATTTATGTTTTTCACTTGTTCTGGGCACGAGGTTCAAATTTGCTGTGCAAAAATTATGGCACAAAGACTATCACGATAGTCTCTAATGAGCTGAACAATAAATTAACACAACTTTCATTTTTAATGAAAGAGATACATGTAGGTTTATATTTTGAAAGGAGACAGGTCAACTAATATAAATATGTTAATTTCTTACGTTAAATCATCACTGATTTCTTCATTATAACGAGGTTTTCTTAATACTTTGTTGATATCGTCATGGAGACCTTCTAATAAAAATCGTAGAAATTCCTGAGAGTCTTGTTGGCTATTGAAAGAAAACAGAAGTTATTCAATTTGAAATGTGACAATTATTAATGCTTTATATGACATTAACTAAAACAATGATTTCAGTGAATATACTTATTCAACAGTTTCTTATCACTCTGCGTTGTTTCATCATGTAGAGACAACATTAATTCACAGTCAGATGGTATTTCATGAACAGTAATAGCCACAGACAAATCTCCATAAGAGGGGTTTGACCTGGAGTTTATTTGACCCCCCCCCCCTTCCCCATTGAAAAACAGTAACATGTTTCAACAGAATGACCAGGATCGACTCCAAGTACCTTAGCTGAGTTTAATTTGACCAAGATTACTGTGTTTAGTCCTGAGATGAAACATGTGTGAACAAGGTTGGGTTAAAACAACACTCTGTAATGGCGACCAGAACCACTGCCATAAATGAACAGAATTTCATTTCAGCCCTCAAAATTAAGAATATTTGCAAAGCAATCTAGCCCTCTATATATTTCTTCATTCAGAATTTGAGTATGAAACCAACCATGGAGGCAACTTTTTTTGTAAGTTTTTAACCTTTCAAGCATGGGTTCTTGATGTAACAGTAGCAGTTTTCCATAGACATGGTGTAGCATGCGGAAGGAAGGTCTACATAACAAAGCTACTCTGTTAGTTGGCACATGCAGGAAACAGGAAATGAATCATGTCAGTTAAATAACTATTCAATGTTTTATATGTAACATCTTCAAAGCAATTTCAAATGAATATTACCAAACTGTTCATTATGTATGAAGTACTATATGCCATACATGTACATGTATACCAATTGTAACTATTATCTTAGTCATAAGCAATCCAGAACAGAAGTTGTTTGCAAACCACCAAACATTATGTATTCATGTAGATGCGGATACGATTAAGTTTTCAGCAAGCTCACCAAGAGCCAATTTAATACATGGCCTTCATAATTAATCAAAACAAGAATGATTCAACTAGAAAGCTGGAATATGATCTTCCACCTACATGCATTTGAATTATAATATCCCAAATATATACCATGTTATATAACAAACTATGCATTTTACCACAAAGGCCATTTTGGCTCAGTATGGTTCCAGCATGCATAACTACTGAATGGAGGAACTACTGATTTAGGGTCTAACTTCAGTATACTACGTTAAGGGTTTGGTTCATAACCCCTCCAATCACAGCAAAGATAACATAAGGGTTTGGTTTATAACCCCTCCAATCACAGCTAAGATAACATAAGGGTTTAGTTCATAACCCCTCCAATCACAGCAAAGATAACATAAGGGTTTGGTTTATAACCCCTCCAATCACAGCTAAGATAACATAAGGGTTTGCTTCATAACCCCTCCAATCACAGCTAAGATAACATAAGGGTTTTGTGCATAACCCCTCCAATCACAGCTGAGATAAAATCACACTAACCTGTAACCCACAAATCTTGGTGCAAACTTCTGTATTTGGTGTTTGAAAGCAGATGGATTGACCGTATCCGCGTTCTTCATCCACAGTGACTGAATTAACTCTGCAAATGCTGAAAATAAAATTCATCCACAATGTGATCGCGAGGTGCTGCCTGATTTATATACACTGTGATCAAGGAGTATGCAAACATGATCACATGTAAAGATGATCACAGTAAAACTAAGCACAGAATTGCATCAGCTGTGAAAACTATTCCTACACATGTACACAGTATCAAAGTCAATCATAATATAAGACGTGTGGTACAATGTTAAATGTCCATTCTATCCACCTAACAATGTGCCCTGTAACATAACTACTGTAAAATACTTTATTTTCGCTTGGAATTAATTTCCGCTATTTTCACTGAAGGAATGATTCAGTGAAAATAAAATCCAGTGAATATACCCGGTAGCTTTTTTTCTATATTTTACATTCAACTCATCAAAAATCAGTGAAAAGAAATTCCATACAAAACACCCAAAACATCTTTTCAGCAAAAATTAATTCCAGCTGAAATATAGTATTCTACAGTAATTTTGGAGGAAGCTGGAGTCAAAATGAAATCCTCAAAATCAAGGTGAGTTTTTTCACAGCCAGGTGGTTGGTCTTCAAGAAAAAAAATAAAGTTGTATGCAACTATACAGGTGAATTGAGGCTTGATTGAAAATTATTTGGCTCCAGATTTCATCTGTATTTACATTTACTTAGTTTATGAAATGTGAATTTCATTTTACCAAATTACACATTCTTCTACTACAGTAAAATATTTTTCAAGATTACTATATCTATGTATGATTTTTTGTTGTATCGATGATGTGCCAATGAATGAGCACAACTAGTTGTATCACAGCAAATATTTGTACATCACTTGCATTTCATATCACCTTAAAGGGCGGCAGTCGTCGTGCTGTGTCCTGTTCGATATGGGACTCATAGCTTTGTATACAACGCGTGTAAAATACATTGTTTATTTACATAAAATTCGAACACGCGCTGCGCACTGACCACCATGCTTTAAGGGCACACTGGCATGCTATTGTTCAAAATATATACATGGCAAACTACTCTTTTGGTACATGTACCACATTTTGGCTCTGTATAAAATTAAAAAAACATAAAAATAAAGATACCGCTCATGTAATAAAAGAAAAAAAACTCACCTGTCATTAGCTGACCCTTCATACTACTAGATTTATTTAAATCATCAATATAGTCTTCTTTACTACAGTAATCCTTTAAAAGTCGTGTATTGCTTAAACATTGTAAAATAGAATTCATAAAACACTGAAAGGAAAAGAAAGCACATCAGTAGAGGAAGTTTTCAAGTCATAAAAGTAATGACAAGGGAACAGGGGCACAGCGCCCTCATGCCATGGCCATACGCCCCCTTAGCCTGGGTAGCAGATCCTCTGGCAACCATAAAATTCTGATTGACAAGGGATCACATGTGGCCACAGTCTTCAACTGTGACCTGTCTGATGTCCCCAAGGAAGCTCTATTTTAACTTAGAATTATCAAAAACTCTACACCCTGGTAGGAAGAACCCTATCTCCCCCACTTGGTGGCATCGCTGAATTGCAGTGCTCCCTCTTGCATTTTTTTTCTAGAAAAAACCCTGTAATGAACAATTAACATGTAATTTTTTTGCACCATCCCATAATTAAATTGGGTCCCATGTGATATTAATGTATAAATTTCCCCCAGGGTCATGTATGATTTTAACAAAAGTTTTTCTTTCTTTCATAAAATCGTTAAAATTCTTAGCAAGGGTAATTAGGCAGTTTACAAATAAAGCAGTTGATTGAATGAATAATGGTACCCTGTGATTGATTGCAAAACATAGCACAATGTAGAACCCCAGCAGGCTAACACATAGCACAAAGATTCTTACAAAAAAAGTGACCCCTGAATGGTTCAAACTTTCTAGAATTTTGGCTTGTGTCAGAGTTATATTACTTGTACGTGTGAATGCAGTTTTACAGAATTTTAAATCCATCAGCTGTGTAGCGGTCCGTACCATACTGTACTATACCGTACTATATACCACTCTCACTGCAACACTGCCCAAGCTTCTTGTATATTATGGTGAGCGGAGCATGAAAATAAAATTTTAATCGCTAGAGGATTACTAAATTACCTCAGGTACATATTGTGAATACTGAAATCAGAAGCAGGTGCTGTGACAAAGATTAAGTGGAGAAATTCCTAGCCATGACTTTGACACAGAGGGCGACATATACTGAGGTCAATGCTACATTTATGTGCATAATACAAAATTATTATAACCAGCTTTTAATTACAATGACAAGATGCAAATTTTCAATGCGACGAAACATGGACGTTTACATATTATTAGGCCAGCGAAAACAAAAAATGTGTTTCCAAAAATCCTATGTAGGCAGGTACAATCAAATCGTTTTACTTTTTCACGGTGGATTCCTTTTTAACAGGTTTTATTATCACAATCATGCATCTAATCTCATATAGTCATAACAGTGAGGAAATAACACTAAATACACAGCAAGGCAAATAATGGATTTTCTTCCATCATCCGTCATTTCTACATAAAGAAAGAAAATGAGCAAATTCATTTTTGTGGTTGAAACATGGATAGTTAGAGCATGAAAATAAATTAAAATTAGACTAATTTGCATAAATAAAAGTTTTATCAAAAATATGGGTACAGTGTTATCAGAAACAATATTTTTTCTTTGCATAACAGGTTTGTTATGTAAAATGTGTTTATGTAATATTTATTTAATAACTGAACTTACCGTGTTTCCAAGGTTTCTAAGCCCAACTAGACCATCATTTGAAAGACTTGTATATGAGGAGGTTGAAGACCGTCGCTTTGTTGTCTTAAATAAAAAATAGCACAAGATTAATAATTAATTTTCATCATGGAATTATAAAGCCAAATAAGCGGGT